TCAGTTGTCACTATAGAGCTATCATGTTATCTGAATTCAGAACACTTAATTCAAAATTTCTCTGGAATTAAGTTCTTTTGAATGCAATGTTTGCACATGTTTACAGTGTTTACTGCATGTTGGGTCTCAATGGGTTATCAGTTGGTAATTGGTAACACGTAAAAGCCAAGAACGCAGGACAGTGACAGTTTTTGTTGGAGTGCAAGGCTGTGCCTATTTCCTGGGAGCAGTACTTCCAGTGCAGACATCAAACTCTTTATTAGTTTATTAGTTTTTTGCCAGCACTACTTTTCAATACTGTTATATGCATTTGGTTATACACGGACCAATGGACAACCAGCTGCACAGTTCAAGTTTCAAACAAAGGAAGAGTAAGGAGATTGTCAGATTTACACAATCGGTATAACCACTAGATCAAATGGATAAGATGACACTGTTAATCCCTGCGGAGAAATTAGAATTCAAAATAAGCACTTAAATACTTTAAATATGCAAATACAAGATTAGTGCAGGATCTGCTGCATCATGCACAAGAATAAATAAAGACACTTGAATCTTTCCTGAGAAAGGAGGGCAGAGGGTCTGGTTAACAGCCTAAATCTGTGTAACCAGGGGATGTTTTTTTTTTCCCATATTGTCCTCGGTTTTGCCAGTCATCAGCCACCACTGGGTTGCACAGGGGATCAGTTACCAGTCTGTCACTGTGAGTGAGGTTACACGTGTTGTCATTCATCTGCATGAGAGCTCCCTCCCACATATGTCACAAAACATGCAGATGCAACGAACAGTAAGACTATTCAGTGGTGTTAAGTTATGTGACAGACCTCAATCAATGGATACTTCCCCGAGGGCATCTTTTCCTTACAGCTTAAATTTCATAAACTACTTTGCTAGTGGTTTTTGTACTGCATGTTTTTGTAAAATGCATCTTGCTTTTTGCTGTCTTTTGTGGCCGTGCTGTAATTTCTCTGTCAGATCTCTCATGTACTGGTATTATATCTCTAAATGTGTGTTTGTATTAGTGTTTCTCTGAGAGCACTCAGGTGTGACTCCTCTCTCCTGCAGGATTTCCTCCTTGGTGTCAACTGTATTGGGCATAATCAACATTTACACAACTAATTATCTGGTGTACACTCACCATTAGTCTATTTAACACATCACAGTCCACTGCATTGTACCAGAAGGCCATCTTTTAAATGGGAACAGTCATGTGTGCCATGGAAGTACAATAGGAACCTTTGAAATGCTAAGCAAACAACCGTGTCAGTCTCCAAACTGTCACACCAAAAAACAAACAGGCACTAGTCTGTGCAAATATAAAGTAAGTAGAAAGTAGATTGTGGGCAATGATGACAAAACAGGAGTTATTTTACCTGTGTACTGATTTGCCAAGTCTCCACATTGGCCTCAGCTCTTTTATGTTCTGGAGGGGGCATCTTTCACAGACAGTCTGACCCTGTGAAATATGGGAGGCTGATGTGTTTTCAGTTGTTGTCTTAGAAAGCCTAGTGTCTGCATTAATCGTGATTACTTCTCGTTCAAACACTGCAGCGTCCGGGTGTTCGGTGTTTGCCCAACACTGACGATGGGATCTTTCCATTTAGTTAATTATACATCTTACTCTTCTCCTGCATATAACCAGGAAGTCAACTGAGGTTCCCCACTTAGGATGTGGATGAAGCAAAGAGAGAGGAGGCCTCCAAAAGAGTTTGAAGGCCATCCTATCTAGATGGGTTGTTTGTTTTTTCTGTTTAGTCGGTCTGCTTATCTGATGTGGCAGTAAATGGAGTGACTGGGCTGCAGTGGACATTAATACTAATGGATCATTTCAGTTCTGTAGACTGGGGAAAGTTACCTGTGGTGTTTAGAAGACAGGAACCAACCACAGCACTAATGCTATTCATGATTTTTTATGTGCCATAAACATAAAAACGACTGGAAGCGTGTATAATCTGCATGATAAAAAAACACAACCTTGCTCACTCTCTGTTTATTTGACAAAAGGCTATTCTTTTCCTCTTTTTTTGTTTTTCCTCCAATGTGTCTTGGCTCTTTGCTAAGGCAGAATAATATTAATATAACGGATATTTGGAGATGCTTTGTGACGTCAGTAATTGCCATCTAGAATGCTAGCGTGAGCGAGGATGTCTGATTCCTCCATCCTCACGGTTTGCCTTGTACTCTCTCTCTCACAGGGCTGTAGCTACCATTGAGAATTTGAGAGTTTTAACAACCCGAGGTGGAGTTTAGATTCTACACAGAAATTACACATGGTGAGGTTTTTGGATCGCTTTCAGGCCAAAAGATGAATTCAAATAAAGACATTTGGCATTTTTATACCAGATAATTCACTGCCGTTGACTTTAGACAGTCATGTAGTTATTTAACATTTTCAGAAAATATAATTAGCAGTTAAATCAATCAAAAAGATATTGAGAAAATGATGCAGATTTTTTTTAGACTAGTTCTAAAATGGCCCTGCTTTAACATCTGTAATAAGAGGAGCTACTAGGAAAAGATGTGACTGGGGGAAGTGAGGAGGCATGTTAGCTGCACTGTAAAAGAAAACAAAATTAACTAATTTAAGAGAAATGATCAATTTACAGTAGTGTAGTAGTTTTAATTGTAAAATTATAGACTTTACCTCTAAATTAACAACCCAACTATTATTTTACCTATTATGCCAATATGACAAATTTCATTTATTTAAATAATTTTAATAATTTTCATACAGACAAATTACCATATTATATTTACAGTTTCATCTGTTTTTCTGAAATTTCCTACAAATGTAAGTAAAATGAGTAATTATCTGTAAACAAATATGTACGCTTATTTTATAAAGGATCATGTCCATACTAAAAATTTTACATTTTTTGTTGTAATCTTAAAGTAAATCTTATTATTTATATACTTCTGTGTTCTTTGTATGGAAATATATATGGTATATAGCCAACTGTAGGGGAGACCGGGGATGGAAGATTTTAACATTTCTCTAAACTAACGTAACTCGGAGCTCTTTAAGTCAGTGCATTCAAAGTGTGACACAGTTACACGCTAATAAATGGTGTAACTGTTATCTCCGCAACTCTGCAACAGAAAATGCCTGGTTTAGCCTCAGAAACAAGGAGTAAATTCACCCCATAGTGTAGACATGTCACATTACAAAAACAGGATTTGAAAGCAACACTTAAAATTTTTTTTAACATAATTGTTGCGTCTGTGTGTGTGTGTGTGTGTGTGTAGGGGTAATCCAATAATCAGTTATAGCAGTGACAAAGTAGTGAACATAATAATGAAATTTAACAAATATGCACCAACTGAATATTAGTGTGTGTGCTTGTTTGTCTTGCACAGTTTCAGTGGTGACAGACATATGGCATTCCTGGAATGCAGGTCTCATGGGCCCACAGAGAAGCCTAAAGGTCTTAACATTTGAACATAATAATACATCAAGTTACCATTACTGTGTGTGTGTCAGATACACAGAAAGAAAACATATATATACAACTGGCGATATCTGCTCTGAAAAAGGACTTTTAGACCAAGTGCCCACTAACAACATGACGAATTGTCCGGAATATTGTAAGTGAAGAACCCTTTTGTATAAACAAACGAGGATTCTGTCACTTTTTAAGAGAAAAATTTAAAGTCGCAGCCAAAACGATGTGCTAAATAAATGTTAAAATTTTAACTTTTTTAGTAGTTAAAGTCTTTTATTCACACTTTCACAAGGGAAGTGGTGGTATGTCGCATTTTCATGATTCCACATCAACTCATTTTCGAGTCCAAATAAACTTTTCGTCTTCAGGCGCACCCTTTCTGCTTAAATTAATTAATCTCTGCCATGCTGCTATACATTTTAATTATATATGTCGTTGTACAACTGGTTGAAGGTTAGGCTGCCGAAAATATGACTAGAGTTAGCCCCCACATGCGACAGGTGTAAACAAGGCCCTGCACACCTGATACATGTTTTGGTGAGGAGGAAAGAAGCTAATTAATCCATCCCCTCGCAATACTCTGTTTGGTGTTATATCACAGGATGTACATTTAGATAGTAATAAGTGTAAGATGCTAGCCTTTTGCACTTTCATGACAAGGCCACCCATTCTCTTCAGATGGAAGGACTCTACCTCCCTCGTATTTTATGTGGATTCAGGACGTTATGCAATATCTTAAACTAGAGAGGATAAGATACTCTCTTCAAGGGTCTGTTTTGAAGTTTCATGCTATTTGGCAGCCCTTCTGTAACCCCATAATACATTTTATCTTCCTATGTTGTTATTGATTGTTATTTATTTTATAATATTTACTTTATTTTTCTTTCATGGATAATATATAAAGCAAGTGGCTCTGATATTAGAGTCGCTGGTCTGGTAGGTGGATGGGTTGGTGGGCGGGTAGATGTTTGGGATTAGTGTGGCTTGTTTGTATTTTGTTTATGTCTTGTATACACTAAAAATCTTTAATAAACAGAACTTGATATAAACTTTAATCATATGGTGACACAGGATGGTAGTTATTGGCATTGGCCTTAGTATTCCTGATCAGACTGGCTGCATGAAAGTGAATTGCGAAAACGTAGAAATCAAGATGTTATCACACATTACCTTGTTGACACTGTACCATTAGCAGACACGAGTTAGAGGCATGAGTCTTTGGTAAAAAGCCAAGCAGTCAATCCGTGATTTTCTCTCCTCCTCAATAGTAATATTACGTGCACTCAGTGTATGTGAGATTATGAAACAAGGCACTGTCAAACAGAAGCAGGTGCACTCAGCAAACCTCCCTTTTGATGAAGAAAGGTTAAGAAAACACATACACAGTACACACAGACATGCAGTATACTGCAGATGTGTGCACAGGTGCAAACACATAGACTAACTGCTGCTGGTTGCTTCTGAATAATGAATTAACTGAAATGTATCACTTTTGATGTTACCTTCACCATATACTAATGATATTTTGTTAACGAATAAATCATTTTAAACACAGCATGATCATTTGTATTTATTAAGAGTATAAGAGTCTGTTCAATGACGCGTGTTGGTTATGTTTCCAAATTGTGCACAAATCAAGCATAGCATTAGTTTCGAGAAGGCAACAAAGTCAAGCCCAGCCCACAATCCAAGCGCATCAGTTGATAGCAACCCATGTCAAGTGAAGCCTCATCAGCTGACAGCTCAGCTGATTTCCCTCCAAGCACTACAGTATGGCCTTCCATGTAGGCATGTGGAAGGGCAGGGAGCTGCTCTCCCCGCCTCATGGCTCTCTGTGAAGGCACGCAGGAGAGGCAGGGGGTCCCAGAACAGAGCCACACCGCCAAATATAACTACTGCAAGCCATAAAGTATTTGATAAAGTTGTCCTGACTGAACTCAGTTTGGTACAACCCGGAAATAAAATTAAAAAAACATAAACAGGCCTTTTTAACCATTTCATCTTGATAAACATGGAATGCTTTGTGTTCTTCAGTACAGTCAACAAGTTTCTTAAACTATGGGAATCTTTACATCCCTGTTTTCTTTATGAATGCTTAGTATCAGCATGGCATATTTCTGTGAAAACGAACTGTATTGGTCCAACCCCAGGAGGTATATCATGGCACTTGTGCAATGGAAAGACTTGTTCAAAACAGCATGAGAAGAACCAGATGATGATTGGCAGGGCCCTCTGCAGGGCAGACTGGCCGGGCGACTGGCTGACGGGCTCGCTGGCCAACTGGTTTGGGGTTTTCCTCGCCTGCAGCTGGAAAAAAGAGAGACATAGGGGTTGAGGAGAATATACCAGGGTGAGTGAAGAAGAGAGAGACAGAGAGAGAGAGAGAGGCGGACATACCACAGTGCCAGCGATTTGCTCTGGTGTTGCCTTGGGCTCCTTAATAAACACATCCATACACTCGCTTAGTCCTCCACTTTCTTCACCTCTCGCCAGCCTGACCAAGTCAAGGCACTTAGTGCAGGGTTAAGACAAGCAAACTCTCTGTTGGTGCACATTTTTCATTTGAGTCTATATGGCTTACTCAGCTTGCTAAGGAAATCAAAGTCAACACTGATGGAGAAAAGAACCTCTTGAAAAGGTCAACCTTTCCAAAGGTAAAATCTATGAACCTCTCTCTGAGGAATTGATTGTCACCATCACATTTTGTCTTGTACATGTAACACAAAGTTTCTTCAGTTGAATCATTGGTGTTGTGAAAAGATACAAACAGCACTGGACTGCTGTGAAAAATGCTAATCAGAGCCAATGCTGCAATCACTGGCTTCCCTCAGCGTAATTACATCCAGTTACTAATACACCTGTGTGACTTTTTCACTTACGACAGCTGACCTGCTAAACAATGCAGGTCCTCCAGTACTGACTGTAACTGCTGCTAAAACATTGTCATTAATAAGATGTAATGTTAGTCCTTGTCTCAGGCTTTGTTATACATGTGTACACATCAAAACAACGTTTCACAACAAACACACGTCGACAGTACTGTAGAAAAAGTAAATGGAGTCATTATTTGGTAACATTCACTAACCCCCAAAAAATCCTGCCAATAATTCCAGTTTAACAGTAAACGCCTACCACTTGTTGGAAGACCGTATTTGCAGCAGGACAGAAAATTGTATTTGAGGTGGATTGTCACGTTTGGTCCATATTGGCGCCAACACCAATCAATTGCGGATCAGGCCAGGAGCCACTTAGTGGCTTCTGTCTTTCCTCTCTACAGCCTAGGCACAGGTGCAGAGATTATTTAATTTCTTGCAAGTGAAGCTCTGAAGCTCTGTACCACTCAGACGTCCTTGATAAGGTCTTTGCTTGCTTAGTTTCTGAGTTTCATGGGATACAACAAGCTCTAAAATGAGTCATGAAGTCATGGTCCAACTCAGGTCTACCTCTGACATCCACAGAAAGTTGTTGCAGTTAATGCCTTTCTCCACTTGCTTATGGCCTTGACCTGGAAACACCCTGTCTGCAACCTATGAACTCAATCTGTTCATTCCTCAACCTTCCCCCCCCCAACACCCACCCATACAAAGACACTGCAGCTGTCCAATCTCCCTCCGAGGTCAAAGGGAACATCCTAATGCTCATCCCACTTGAGACTGACACCTGTTGGCTCCGTCTTAGCCTGGCCTTCGTAAAGACAACAGAGAATTCAATAAAGGGGGCTTAGAGCCACGAGACCTGATCACCAAACTGTCTTCTTCCTCCTCACTTGTGATTTGAAAGACTGAGGGGGTCTAGCTTTTAGGGAATAGTACATGAATTGACGAGGATGATGAAGACTCCACTAATAAATGAATGAACCTTGTTAGATACCTTGGTGGAACCATTGTGGGTTTATGATCGCGAGTGAGGCTGAGTGCTGCTTCAGGGACTGTCCATGCTGGGACTTGTTAAGCAGTGGAAAAAGTTGTAGGGAATTTGGCGAGCAACTTGTCTTCCTGTGTATAAAATAATCACAATCTGTCTGTAGGGCTGGATTTTAAGATAAGATCATAAAAAGAAAATGTAAAACCCTCAATTTATACACCTGCTTGTCAGAGTCGATTTTTATGGGCTGGATTTCTCAAAACAGACATGTTGCCAACAACGATCTCTTTGGCAGTTTCTGTACCAACACATGCAATATATCATGTAGACACTTGGCAACCTTAGCAATATTGTGCATAGCTTGTACCAGGGACAGTAAAAACCAACATACCAACCTGCCAGCTTTCGCCCATTGAACCTGTCATTGCCAAAATGTGATGGTTCACTTCCTCATATCGCTCTCTTATTTTTAGATGAACATGCACTCAGCTGTCCAAGAGTCTAATTAGAGGGAATACAGAGCCTACTGTCAAGCATACACACTGAGGCTAGAGGAAAATTGGTCTGATTGTGACTTTGACAATGTGTGAGTCACTGCTCTGATCCTCTCATTCATTACAGCAAATCCCTGCCACAAAGACCAATGAAGAAGAGATTTACTGTAGTCTGGGAGGTCCGCCTAAAAAAGTCTAATGTGCCTGTTTGCATGCGTGTGCATATTGTATCTGTGATGTAACTTGAAATGTTTCCAGACATATTTTTTTTCTATATCGGCCTCTTCTCCCTGTCACTCACACTAAAGCACCCCACAGCCGCTTGACTTATAATTAACTGCAGTTGTTAATGGGCTCAAGAAGAATTTAGCTTGTAAGCTGATCCTACAATTAGGGCTTGTTGACTTTGCATAAATGTTGGGGGCTGCCCTCCCCAGGGGCGTGGGGCAAAAGAAGGGCGTCTTTGAGGGCCTGCCAGGCCTGGCCAGACCTCCTGAGATGTTGGAGGGGGAAGTGAGGTCTAAAACACACACAGAGGAAGCCCTTCCAACAGTCTTCCTCTGAATCCTTTGGGGTCACGCAGGACACCAGGTTAACCTCTGGAAATGTAGATGAGACCCTCAAGCATCCTCAAGAGGTTAACCATGCAGAATTATTTAAAAGAGGAAATGGGCTTGGAACAACTTGGATATATTGTAAGGGACTTCTTTTATGAAAAGGAAGTTATCCACATATTAATGACCAATGGGTTGAAATTTACATTGTTATTTTTTGCATTTTTTAACATTTAAAGACATTTTTTTTAAATCGCATTTTTATGCTGCACTCCCCCCAGACAGGACATTAATTTAATTAAATGTGTATGAATCACTATGTTAATCTCAGTCTTTACATACATTAAAGTTTAAACGGTTGAACATTTCAGTTTTAAATCATCCACAAGAATCTACATCTTCCATCTAGGCATGGAATTGGTGGTCCATGTCTCATTCACTAGATTTTGAAGGATTCTTAGTAATAATACAGTGTGAAATACTCCTATTTTGAATCACAAAGAGCTTATTTACATTTTCAGTTTTCTCAGTAACGTGACTGCTGGTGCTCAAATGGCCCCATGGGAAGACCCCTGCAAGCGTGAAAGATTGCATGGCCAAACAATATTTGCATTTTGATTAGGCATGCTTCTGTTAAGGCACTTAATGACTTAGGTCCCAGTCAGATGAACAAAAAGAAATGTCCATGTAAAGAGAAAAGGCCTTCACGCTAAACTACACCACTTTATTGTGACAACGTGTGGATGTGAATCTTCATCAAACAGATGTGATGCTTTTCTCCATCCTTTTGATGGTCACATGATTAGTCACATGACCCACCAACCCAACTGTTACAAAAGAAGCAAAGTGTGAAATGCAATCACCTTCTCATGAATAATTTGACTAAATATAAACAACAATCCATTTATTACAGCATTATTGGACAATTATGTAGAACTATTGTATCATGTGAAATATATGCATGCACAGTATGTCTGTGTCCAACATATTGTCTTTGAACTTTATTTAATTTAAAACAAGGGAAAACTCTTACTATAAATTTAAATAATATCACAAAGTTTATAATAAAAGTCAACTTGTTCTTTTTGAATCAACTTGAATCAAGTGCCCTTTTGTGAAGGCTTGTCCAATCAAACTATTAGTAAAATGAATGAATAATAATTTCACAGTACTAAATAAAATGACCCACATGATGACCTTTCACCTGATGACCTCATGTGTGACGAGCCCTCCCGTTCAGACACCGTTAGCGATTCAGCAGCACTACAAGACACCTTTGATACCGCCGGTTAGTGGGGTTTTCTTGTTGTGGGTTGTTGGATGTATTTTACAAGAAAGAGACACAAAGAGAGCAGCACAGTTGTTTTGTATATTGCTGTGTGTCACCTGTAACGTTAGCTGCCGGCTAACACAGTGCCGACAGCTAACGTTACTTCTACATGCAGATAAATAAAGGAGCTCTGTTCACTTAGTTCTTGCTGTTTGAGGGAGAAAAGTTTCACGGGCGTCGAGAGGTGTGGTCACTTGAATTAGGATTATTACAGTTACTTAATAAAAAATGTAGCTTGCCGTAAAATAATTACAACAACATCGGTAAAACAGGCTTATACTGATACTTATTCCTCCGAATTAGGCTTTAGCCTACTTAGAAGCCCTTTTAACATTTTCATTTAATTTAGAACAGCATTGCAAATATTTACATTTTAACAGCAATAGTGGTGTTTACAACAGCAAAACTACTATATAAACTCAATAACTGGAAGTACATATAAAAATGTCAGTGTAAAATAAATAATATTCTTGACATCACAGTAGAGTAAAGAGTGAAGAAGAGCTCTAGGAGATTTAAGGAAAAGGTATGAAATGATAAGGTGGAAGATCTGGTTAGCTAGATTATTTATTTAGATTTATGATTAGAGATATAGTCAATCAAAATCCAAATATATCTCAGAATCCAATGCAACATACAAAATCATTATCACAACATTGCATACTGTAGACACACACGCTCACACACCTCTGTCTATAGATTTGTCTGTCTCACTCTTACCCCTGCCATGGCCACCATCCTTTACCCCATTAAAGTTTCCTTCTCAGATTATTTCCCACACTTTTCTGAATTTGGTATCTTACTTTCTCTATCTGCTGCTCTTGGTGTGCAGTTCCAAACACGGTCAGCAAACTTTACATCTTGTCATGGTCGCATAACAATTGTTGTTGTTCAGCTAATATATATCCTATGTTTGTTTTAATATCACTAGTCACAGATCACATTAAGTAGTATCAGCAGCAACAACAATAGCAACATCCCCAGCAACCCCCTCAACAGCAAATGTTCCCTGTAAGTTCTGTCAGCTCACAGTGTTTTAAAGCTGGAGCTGGGTATTCCCTGTGT